TTTTTTCTTTAATAGTGATTGTGGATGACAACGTTACCACAAAATAACGGCCATTAAACTGCTACCATGTTGTTATTTAAATCTTCGGCTACTATTATCCGAGTTTTAAATTAAACCAATTATGGAAAACACATGAGAGGTTCTTCATCATTGACTCAGGAATTGATTTCTTTCTAATAAGAGTCTAGAAACTAGAGGACTATAATTATGTCATTAGAGAAAGACCCTGGTTTATGGGAAGCCATTTCCTAACTATCAGAAAGTGGACTCCCAATTTCAAAATATTGTAAGCTTTTCTTTCCATTATTGTAGTTTGGGTAAGACTTTCTAAGTTATCTATTTAAAATTATGACATAGACATCTTGATAAAGAAAGGGAAAAAGTTTGGGGGCCTTCTCAGAGTGGATAACTTCACTCTATCATAGGAAAGGGGAAGATTCACACATTGTATGTTCAAGTCAATCAACACTAAAGGAAAATAAATATTTGATGGCATTTTTTTAACGACGTTTTATCACAAATGCCACTAGCTGTAGTGTTTTTATAATTTTAGCAGTGTTTTTTAGGCAAACATCGTAAAATAAACATATAACAACATTTGAAATTGTAAATACCACAAATTGAAAAAATTTAACGGCGTTTTTAATTACAAACGCCGCTAATTTACAAAATATAATGGCATTTATTGTAAAACACCTTTATTTTTTATAATTTAATGGCATTTATAAATACAAATGCCACTAATTGATCAACCCATCTTATGTTATGTAGTCACATTATATATAGATATATATATATATATATATATAACGCCTCTTATTTACATGATAAGTTTCCCAAAAAATCAAAAATTGACCTAGCCCAATCTTTTCCCCTTTTTTTTTCAATTTGCATTTGGTTCTTTTTTGCCATTCTCTGCTATAAATTTCCCTCACAATTTTCCTTCATTTTCCCTTCCTTTTCTTTTCCCATTCTTTTCCTTTGATTTTACTTCTACTAAATAACTAATTTAGCAAAATTATGCTGCAACCCATTTTAGCAACCGCTAACGATGAAGCGAATTCCAGTTTAATTGACGATGATTTCTTGGTTATCCATTCAGCTCTCCTCTTATTTTGGTGATTTCTTTCATGGTAAACCTATTTTGTTCTATTTAAGGTTTAATTATTTGTTTTAAATTTAACAAATATGTTTGTGGTTTATAAATTCTCATTTAATGGTGGAACATGTAAGTCTTTTGTTGGAAGAAAATTGAGCCCTAAAATTCGAGGAAAAGGAAGTTAATTTGATGGGTAGCAATAGGTAGGGTTTTAAGTAGAGTTTAGTCAGATACAAAGGAGAAAGAAAAAGATATATGTATAAAGCATGAGGAAAAAGATACTGATTTCTAAATTCTTGTCAAATTCTTGGTTTGACTTTTAAATTACTCTAAAAAGTTACCCTTTTGAGTAGTTTAATTTTAGCAGATACTAAATTTGATTCTTTGTAAAATATGATCCCTATGGTTCACCTGATGCTTCTCTACTTAAACTAATAAAGAATGTTAGTGCTTAACTATATGGTGTTGCTTTTTTTAATTATGCCAATGGTTAATCTGCTAGGCACAAGTTGAACTTATATTAGGCCATTTATCTCTAAATTTTATGTCATACTGTAAACTCTTAACATCTTTTGCTATTTTTTCTGACATTGCAATTTCAATAACCATTTTCAGGTTACTTCAACAATCCATAAGCAATAAAATTGACAATAGATGGATAGTTTTGGTACAAACAAGAGATCTTGAATAGTTTGATGAGGATGGGAATCTCTATGTTGTTGACAGAATTAAAGAGTTGATTAAGTATAAAGGTTTCTAGGTAACTCATTTGATTGCATTTTTTATATAATTAATATGGTTAATTTGCATTTTCTATCAAATAAAAGTTTTGGTAAAAAGAAAGACTCATCAATGTTCATGAATATTAATGTCAAAAGGGATAGAGATATACATAATACTTTCTACATGCAAGAATTGGCTAAATTATCCTCTATTCCTTTGGGAACAATTTTAATAGAATTCTAGTAGAAAAATAACTAATGAACATTTTGTTTATGGTTTTCTTTATTTATTATATCTTCCTCAAAAGTATTTCCTAGAATACAATTGATTTAAATAAGTAGTTATGTAGAGTTGTCTACTTTTATACGAGTATATAAATATGTGATTTTGTTTTAAATTAAATGATAAGAAAAAAAATTATTCTCTTATTTTTTGACTAGATCTATTAATATGAAGATCATTCTTTCAAGTAGAGTATCTGTATAGAAACTATTAAAAAATGCAATGGATCTACTGAATAGCAAAAAAGCAATTTAAAGCCAAGAGTCAAGAACTAGCTAAGTCTGCTAAACTTTTATTGAGAAGTTCTCTTTCTATGGAAAGGCAAGCTAAGAACTGGTTTGGCTAGCTAATTGACTGTAAATGGCATTATAATTAAAAGAACGTAAAAATTTAATAACAAAAAGATTAATACAGAAACCAAACTCAGATAAATGAAAAAACAAACTAAAACTTTCGAACATATAGGACCTTTTTGTTCATAAGCAGCTGACATTTTCTTTTTTTTTTTTTTCATGTGCATTTGCTTAGAAGAGCTTACTTATTACATCAAAGATTTTAGAAACCATATGCACACTGCCAACATTGGTTTTCTTAGTTGCAACAGATATTGACTTTGAGTTGCTATGCTAGTTGTGTTTCCTTCCTTTTACAGCTCATGTGATGATATCTCAAGTAGACCTATGATAATTCTATAAAAAATAAAATTATCAAATAGTAGTTGCAAATTGATGATGCTTGCTTAACTTTGGGAATGGAAACACTTGCTAGTTTTCTGTCGCTTTTAGATTTCAAATATCGAAAGATCTAATACGAAACATTGATCAAAAGAGAGATACATATGGCTTCATTCTTGCTAGAATATGTCATGAATCTGGATAAAAAATGTCATACAATATTATTTATTTAGCTATTTGCTTTTTGAAAAAATTTTGTTTTAAATTTCTTGATTGTACAATGTTCTTTTGCGAGTGATAGAATATGTCCAATATTTAAGAGGGAGGGTTTAAAAATATGAGGGTTCATACCAGGGATGAAGTTCCTAGCCTACAAAATTAAAGCCATGGGTATGCTTTTATACTGAATGCTTTCTATCTTTAAGGTTTAAATAATTTTTTTTTTTTGGTTTAAGCAGTTAATTTTTTGTCTTAAGTAGTTAATTTTTTGTTTAATAGGCATGTTTATGATGATTTTTGTATATCCTCTTCATTAAGCTATTAGGTATTTTATGATTTTATTTTATTTTATTGTTTTAGATGGGAAATTCAATTTCATTAGGCTTGTTAAGTATGAAATTGCTTAAAATTTTTGATAGGCATAAGATCTTTAGAGGAGCAAAAAATTGTTTAAGCAATTTTTTACCATACGTTTGTGGAATCTGTTGTACTAGTTTCTTGGCTATCGAGGTTTATTATTCAATCTATAAGAAAAAACTTGTGGATCAATAAACCATTTGCTATGATATTTACCTCAAAAGTCTTAGTTCCTATTTATTGACAATTACTTTTTGCATTTTTTGCTCACTCCTTAAAATTAACTCTTATTGCAGAATGGCAAGCCAACCGACCATGAACAATGCAAAGCCTCCTACAATATAGATCCAAGGACAACTTGTTGGTCAGAAAAACGGTTGTTGCTCTTTCTAAAAAATAAACGATGTATTGAAAGCTCTCTTTCTTTTGTAGTATGTTGCCTCTTGTGGCTTGTAAAATTACATGTAACTTGTCAATGGCAAATTTATTTGTTCTGGTTCATTTCAATACATTTATTCATGTGAAAGGCTTGTACAATGTATGATTGTTGATTTAATAATAATGTTTTTGCTTTCTCATGCGACGTATTCTTTAAGTTTTTTTTTTAATTGACGTTTGTATTTAGATATTTAAATATTTATAATATCTAATTTATAAATTTAATTTATTTTTAGTTTTTTAATAATTTTTTATTTAATTATAATAATAAATATTGAAAGAAATAAAAATAAAATTTTAATTTAATGGTGTTTGTAGTGAAAAACACCGCTAAATTTCTTAATTAGTAGTGTTTATGTAAAAAAAACAATGCTAAATTTAATGATATTTTTCACACAAACGTCGCTAAATTAAAAAATAGTGACGTTATTTAGTGACTTTTTTTTATACAAACATTGTTAATAAAAAAATTTAGCAATGTTTGTGTGCAAAAATACTATTAAATTTAGTGACTTTTTTTTTTTATACAAATGCTATTAACGTTTTTGGAATAAAACATTGTTATTTTTACCGACACAGGTATTGCTGACACTTTTAGTGATATTTTTGAAAAACATCTCAAATCATTTAATTACATTTATAAACGTAACTAAATACGAAAAAAAAAAAAAAGTCACTAAAAACTTACTTTCACGTAGTGCTGGAAAATCTTTTGAAGAGGTTTGTTAATATTGAAGGTACTAGGCAGTCCATTATTTATGAAGGCATTGGAATGTTATGTTTCCACTGTTGCAAGATTGGACATAAGAGAGACAATTGCCCAGAGTTTCCACCAACCATATATCGAAAGTCCAAGTTGCAGTTATGGCAACCATACAGGGGGAAGCTCCAGTGGAGCAAATGGGAGAGAAGGAGAACGATGATGGCGCCCTTCAATAGCTGAGCAACAAGACAAGGTTTTTACTAACGTGTACGAGGAAAAAGGCTGAGGGGGCTATAAAAAAGATAATGTCTCCAGAAGGAAAGATCTTTTACGGGATGAACCAGGATGGAGCGGTACAGGGTCTAAATGACAAATTTTCACCTGGTGGTGAAAACGTAAGCAAAAAATAAAAAGTAAACTACCAATGAATGTGAATAGGCAAGACCAGGTGCCAGGGACTATATAAACTGAATGGAAGAAAAAGAGGATTAGGATCGGCCAAAAGCAAAGAAAAAGTAGAAACCAAGTGGGCTATGATAAGGGGCGGCTTCTATTAAGGGCGTTAAGGATAAAAACGATGCTGACAAGGAGGCCATCTCAAAGGAAACAACAAGCAACGTGATTGCCATTTCCATGCAACATGCCATTCAACAAAGCATGCAGAAACTATCTAATGTTGTTAACTCTGGGAACGTCGAAACCCGTATTGGTAAGGGAAATGTACCTTGCCCAACCACTCTATCACTCCTACAAACTCCTTCCAAAGCCCAAGTGAAGAAGCATAATCATAATAACTACTCCTTAGAATCGTCGATGCCTCCAAAAGCTAGAGTTCAGGGGACTCAATGCCAACTAAAGGATGCGCATTTGCATGAACAAAAGGATGTGAAAAGAAAGGAGACAACAAGCTTCCCTTCTAGTTTCTCTTCAAACTTCAGTAACTTCTCCTTAAGCCTTTTTGGAAGAACATCAAGACCCGCTTCGCCAAGCCCTGGAAGAGATGGAGGGATAATTTAGAAGGTCTATCTCTCCAAGAGAAAGGGATACATTGAGAGCAAGGAGGGTTAGGAAGGACAGCCCTCAGGTAGCCACTCCAACGACTATGGAGGTCACCACCCCTATTGATTTCCCCGTCGCCTATGCTGCCATTTCTACAGTAAAGCTTACCTCTATCAGAGACATCACCACACCCAAATAGGCAAGACTTATGGGAGATTCCCTACTGGCTGTTGAATGTAACAGTGTCCTCCCTCTCAAAGAGACCATTGGAGATACATATGAAGAACACCTAGGTGGGAGTGTTGAAGCCTTTGGTGGACAGATCCCTACTCCAGTTCAAGATCTTTGCCAATTCCTTGGTGGTGTAAGGAATGTAGACATTGCTTCACAAAATTGAGTTGATACCGAGACTAGAGCAAGACCCCAGGGCAGCATAGAACCCCGAGCTATTCATGAAGTTCCTCAAACCCCCCAAACCCTTTAATATCATGTCAATCATCATCTAGAATTCTAGAAGGGCTAGGCACCCCGACTTTATTAGAACTATGAGGAATTTAGTTAACATCCATAAGCCACTATTCATGGTCATAATAGAAACAAGGGTGCGAGGAAGAAAAGTACGCCACATTATAGATCGGCTACCTTTTGACGCATGGAATGACACTGACCCCATTGGGTACCAAGAAGGTATATGGATGTCGTGGAGATCAGACTTGATCACAGTCCAAGAGCTTTGCTAAACTGAATAGCAAATTCACACCACTGTCAACGTACTCTCTTCTAACTTTTGTTTGGTTATTTTCTGCCATTTATGTTACTCCTCGATTGAGAGAAAGAAAGATACTTTGGAGAATCTTAAAACTATTGTTTCTAATCATAATCTTTCGTGGCTCGTTGCGGCGGATTTTAATGAAGTTGTTTCCCTTCATGATAAAAAAGGGGGTTCCCCGTGGCAGGCAGTAGTCTTCGTTCATTCTATAACTGCCTGAATGTCTACAACTTGCTTGATCTTGACTTTAAGGGCCCTAGATTTACTTGGACAAACTTAAGAGATGACCGGAACCTAATCCAAGAAAGGATAGACCATGTCTCTGCTAACCCTTCATGGAAAATCCTCTACGTAGAGGCATCGGTTACACATCTCACCAGAACTAGGTTGGATCATTGTCCTGCTCTTATTACGTTGCGTGCAAAACGCATATATTTTGGAGCTAAGCCTTTTCGTTTCTAAAGAATGTGGGTGGATCATCCTGACTTTGGCAATGTTATGTCTTAAACATTGGTTTCCTAATAACCACCTTCTAACACAAACAATTAAAGGTTTCACGAAACATCTTAAAATTTAGAACAAAAAGACCTTCAGGCATATGTTCAAGGCTAAAAAGAAGCTCATGCCAAGACTCAATGGCATTAAAAAAGCCCTTGAAGTGAGACCGAATGCATTCCTGCTCAATCTCCAAAAGGATCTTATAAGAGAATACTAGAAAGTTTTGCGTAATGAGAAACTGTTATGGGCCACGAAATCAAGAGTTAGTTGGATGATAGAGGGGGAGAGAAATTCTAGGTTTTTCCATCACACAACCCTTGTCGGACGATCTAGGAACAAAATTAATGGGCTATAGGATGCTTATAGACTCTGACCACTGAGACTAGGGAGATTGCTGATATTATGAAGTTTTACTTTGCTTACGTGTAAATCGATAATTTAAAATATGGTATGAATATATATATATATAAATATAAAATAAAAAATAATATAATTTAAAATTTTAATAATAATTATATATTTAATAAAATTAAAAAATATATATTTTATTTTTTATATCGATATAAATTATAATACATAATTTTTATTTAAAATATAAATAAATATATAAATTTTAATATTTTCCGTAACATGAATACATAAATTGTCGACCGTAACGACAGACTATATGAAACTTTAGTGTGCCTTTCATCAGAACTTAAATGGCTTGTTTTAACAAAGGGAGGATAGCAACCGATTATTGCTTCCTGTCACTGAATGTGACATTTAGAAAGCCATGTGGTCCCTCAAACCCTTTAAAGGGCCTAGCCCGGATGGACTACGCTGTTTTTTCTTCCAGCATTGTTGGCCGAGGGTTAAATAGAAAGTTTACCTGTCGCTGCTGGGCATCTTTGAGAGTGGCAAGGTTCAGGAAGGTATGAACGAAACCCTCATCACTTTCATTCCAAAAGCCAGTCACCTTCTTTAGCTAATCACTTTTGCCCCATTAGCCTTCTTAATACTACCTATAAAATTGTGACAAAGTGTTGGTTCGTAGATTATGGTCTTTTCTGAACAAACTTGTATCACCTCTTTGGAGAAGTTCCATCCCTGAAAGGCAAGCAGTGGACAACGCGGTAATTGTTCAAGAAGTGGTTCACTTGATAAAAAGGAAAAAATGGAAACATGGGGATATACTCATTAAGATCGACCTTGGAAAGGCCTATGACATACTCAAATGGGGCTTTATTAGAAAAGTCCTCACCTCTTTCAATTTCTCAGAAAACTGGATTAAGCTGGTTATGAGCTGTTTAACTACCTCAAATATAGCTTTAGTTGTCAATGGAGGCAAGCTTGAAAGCTTTCTGCCAACTAGAGGAATCCACCAAGGCAATCCTCTCTCCCCATACTTTTTTATCCTTTGCATGGAATACCTCAATTTGATGATCCAGGATGCCTGTGAGAGAAAACAGTGGAGGCCAATCAAGGTTTCAAGAAATGGCCCGCACTTATTCCACCTTTTCTTCGCGGATGATCTAATTCTATTTGCCAGGACAGACAAAAAATCTATTTGTTCCATTAAAAAGATCCTTGAAAATTTCATGATTGAATCTGAGCAGAAAGTAAGCTTGGAAAAATCAAGGATCCATAATTCTAGTAATGTAAAGGAGGAGCAGAAGGATTGGATCAGGAACTGTCTTCAAATTAGAAGTACGAAGGACTTAGGGAAATTCCTGAGAAATTCACAACAAAAGAATGAAGAAGCAAGACCACGAATTTCTAGTTGACAGAGTCAGGTCCAAACTCGCGAGTTGGAAAGCACACCCTTTCTCCTTTGCAGGTTCTCTCATTCCTTATCCAATCCACTATGGCGACGGTTCCCACCAATTATATGCAACGTAGAGCTCTTCCTAACAACATATACCTTGATTTGGACAAAATCAACCATAACTTCTTGTGAGGCGCAAGTGAACATGTTAAGAAACCTCACAGAATTAATTGGAAGGAAGTCACTAAACCTAAGGAGGAAAGGGGACTGGGGTTGAGAAGCAGTAAACATAGAAACAAAGCCCTTCTCACTAAACTTTGCTAGAGAATGATCCGTAACCAAGAACTTTTATGGGTTAAAGTCTTGTAACAGAAATACATCTCTCGTGCAAGGTATGGAGCGGGCAACTCCAATGCCTCGATCACCTGGAGAGCTCTGAAAGGCTACTAGTCACTGGTGGAGAAAGGGATTCGATGGGTGGTTAAAGATAGCCTAATCACTAATTTTTGGTTGAAAAACTAGCTTGCGTCAAGAAACCCCAGGTTTAGGGTAAAGGCTCGCTCAAAAACCTCGAGGATACTAACTCCATCAATCAATTTTTATCGTCATGGGTTAATCATCGACAATGCCCCCTCTTCATTGGGCTCTCGAAAAACCTCATAAACTGCATCCTTAGTACGCCATTACCATGGTTGATAAGGGAAATGATGTTTTATGCTAGAACTACTCGGCAACAGGTGAATTCAATTTAAGCATTGCCTACAGGTTGGCATTAGGGGTTAAGGATTCAATGGACCCAGAGACCAAGAGCAAATGGAGCTGGATTTGGAAACTGCATGTGTATCCCAAGCTACAGTTTTTCATCTGGGAATGTATGCACCAGGTTATCACAACAAGAACTTTCCTGTCAACAAGAGGCATTGAAACCCAGGAAACTTGTGCTTTCTGCATGCAACAGAGGGAAACTTTAGCTTATTTGTTCTTTGATTGTGAATTGGTGCAAGGGTGGTGGGACAAAGTCAGAGCCACCGCTCATATCCCCTCAATCGATGCTTTAGCTGGGAAGAGTGGATCCAAACTAATGCCTCTTCTAAACTCTAATTCTACATTCATAGATTCCCAGGGAACATTGTTTTCATCTCCTTCTATGGGAAATTTGTATCACACGGAATGCGGCTGTGTTTAAAGATAAGTTTGACAAAGAAAAAATGGTGAACAAAGCCTTGGAGCGCGATGTTGAATGCCATGCAATCAGGGGAAAGACGAAAAAGATCCCTTGAGCTTCTTTTACTACAGTCCAATGCAAATCACCCCTATGAGGGTGGTATAAACTGTTTACTAGATGGCTCATCCTTTGGTAACCCCAGGGAGTATGTGAGTAGGGGCAGTGATAAGAAACCATAAAGGTAGTTGGGTGGTGGGACCTGCTAGACATATACCTAGGGCTGCCAGTTTTGAGGCAGAACTGTGGGCGCTTAGAGATGGACTTAAACTGGCCTTGGAGGTTGGGATTTGTTCCCTTGAAATTGATCTTTATGCCACCTCTGTCGTTAATCTTGTGATCAATATGGAAAAGCAAAACTTCCTATTTAACACCTTGGTCTATGATTGCAGGATGATATTGAGGAGATTTCAGTCGACAGTGATGAGAAACACTTTCCACGAGGGCAATAGGTTTGTTGATACACTTTGCCAGATGGGGAAGCAATAAGGCTTTTCAACCTTCTTCACGTAGTTTTAATTTTGCTAGTTATTTTGAAACCTTTCATGTATACCGCCCGACTTTCTTAACCCAATCCTTCGAGACGAGACTCTTGGGGTAATGTTATTTCGTTCTCTTTCTTAATGCTATGTTCGTTTCTTTCTGACTAAAAAAATAATAAACCTCCTTCCGCCGTGCCTTATGCTTCTGGTTCTCAATATGTCACTCCCTTCCGTTTAGGCTTTCTACTCAACAAATACCAAGTCCTAAAATATCTCAGAGCTTGTTTAACCCAAAAATATCCCTTTTCTTTTTTGTGTGTTTTTTTATGGTTTCTGGCTGATTTTTTTATTATGATAACTATTTCTCTGCTGTTGGTTGCGTTTTTCAGAGCCAAAAAAAAAGAAAAAGAATCTTTGCGTAGTTTTTAGGTTCTTCAAATATGGATGTTTTTTGCTGGGTTGTGATTCAGATGCAGTGATGAGTGCTTTTCGGGTGTGAATTATGTATTGAGCAATTGTGGTGGTGGTTGCATCAGATGGCAACAGATGGAAGGGCAGTGGAAAAGCTATCGATTTGCTTTTGCAAAGAGAGAGAGTGAGACAGTTTCGAGATTAAAGAAAGGAAGGAGAGTAAAAATGAAAAAAAAAAAAAAAAAAAAACAGGGATTTAATACTTGCACTTAAAGAGTGCATTAAAGGGGAAAATTTTTGAAGTGGGGAAAGAAAGGAAAAAGAGCGACATGGCATGCTTTCTTCCTAAATGACCCCTCTTGTTATTTTTTATGACATTGATTACATGAGGATCAATTTTAAGTGTAATGATCATCAATTTTAAGTATAGATGTGATCAAGTCAGAGCCTAAACGCCCCTTGATTTTCCTATCTTTGCAATGCCCCCTGGGTTTCTCTATATTTGCAGTATTATCGCTTTTCCTTCGCTCGTGTTTGGTATTGTTTGGACACGGTACCCTTTTCTTTCCTCACAGCACTACCATGGGTCAATCAAGAGTTCTCTTTGTATTCCAATTGGCTTTCATCTTGGTAATTACAAAACGGCTGCGTTTAAAAACCACATTTCTATATTTCTCCTTTAGCTATCGCTAATAACTAACGGGTACTTTACAATCCAAGAATCAACAGAACAGGATATTTACAAAGGAAAAAATTTACATATGTTTGAGTTAAAAAAAAAAATGGGCACAAACCGTTATTTTATAATGAATAGTTAATCTGGACCAAAGCTTGTTCCTTGAGAAAGCAGTATCTCTCACCAATCTTCTATATCATCAGAAATTTTGCTTTCTTGTTCATTTATACTCATTTTCTGAGACTCGTCCTCTTCTGAGTCATGAGTTTAAAGACCTCCAGATGATCTATAACCAAGCCATTTTAATACAGGTGTATACTCTGTAGCTATAACTGATACTTCAGATAAGTTAGATGATCCTCCATCCGCGACAAATCTCTGCCTTAGCATCTCATTCTGCATTCACCAAAGGAAATTTCTATCTGAAAGACCTTTTAAAAGTCAATTCAAAATTGCAAAAACTACAGGAAACTGATAACATCCAATCCACCTGATTGTGAGATATCGATTGCTCTATCTGCCAAAGCTTTGGTTTGCGAATAGCATGCCATCTAACAACACATATATTAATAAGTGGTTACATAACGCAAAAGGTTGGTGGAACTGGGATACAATTAACTAAAGCATGAAAATAGAACCTTGAAGGTGATGGATGATAATTTCCATAAAGAACTCCGCGAACTGCGACTGAAGCAGCAGTTGACTGCAGAACATTCTCTGTCTCACTATGTCTAGCTAACACTCCTCGAAAAGAAGAAAGAAGCAAGTCAGCATCACTAAGATATGAAGCCACAGCCCATGCATCATCCATTGCTTCATCATTCAGAAAATCCAGAACTGCAGGAAAAGGTGGACAGCAGTAGCATCAGACAATCGAAATCAGAAGGAAAACAACTTCCCACCATTTTGATCCATCCATGTCCATGCTTTTCTCTCTTACAGACGCTAAGGATAGGAATAATGGTAAAAATTATTCATAGCATACGCAACTTGCAGGCAAAAAATGTATCATTTTCAAGATGAAAATCAGTAACGGGCCTTGATTGCCCATGTGCTTGGCAAAGTATCTTTTCTGGAGAATCCATTTTAAATGGAAGTCTTGAGAATTTCTCCCCTACAAAAAATGCATTTTGGTCTAGAAAACCAAAAAAAGAGAAAAAGATAGAGCTCAGGGGTGAACATCTCAGATGTATTTAAACCTATGTTATCAAACTGTCATGAGGTAGAAAATACCATATACAGCTATAAAACGAACACTAATCTTCCCCCTTTCTTTTCCCATAAAAAATCAAGCTCATTAAAAAAGAAAAGGGAAAGGAACTTTAAATATCAAATCGTCTATCAATTCATACCTAACACAACTACATTTTCGGTCTCTCTTTTGTTATGCAAGAATTTTCCCAGTGCATGAAAAAGCATCAGCGTCTCATCTCTGACATATTGTGAAGAAAATCCACCACTGAAAGAATTGAGATCATTTGCATTTTCTTTTGGGTAACTGAGAGTAGAATTGGATGAAGATAAATCAAGTTCCACATCGGGTTGCAGACAGAAGAGCCGTAAAGATGTAATTGCATGTCTGATGTCACCTCCACTGGCTTTTGCAATCAGATCAATCTCTTCAACTGGCACATTACATTGCTCCTGTCTGCATATTCTAGAGAGTGTTTTCTTGATGGAATTATTTGTTATAGGATTAAATGAAACCTGCAATTTTCCAGTTTGAAATCAGCAACCAGTGAGAAAATACTAAACCCAAGACCAAGTTTTTTGGTGAGTGTAACCCTACTAGCCCCAGCACTCTCAAGTGATAATTGAAGTTCTTCGAACCATCTTGTGGTGAGGTCTGATGAATCTGCATTACCATTGTCGGTAATCAATATAGCTATTGGTACCAATGTTGATCTCACAAGAAGAACCAAGCACCTTTAAAGTCTTTCAAAAGCTGCTCTTCCATTAGTTACAGGAAGATCATCAATCACCAGTATACTTGATGACTTGGAGTTCCCATTGAATGACGAAGAGATCAAACCATACTTCCTCACTCTTTCAATAAAGTTTTCAAACTCATCCAACTTAGAAGTGTAATTTATCCCTGGACAACAATATACCATCATCAGCAAGTAAGAAACTGTTAATCCTCAAGGAATTTATAAGAAAATTAGCATTTAGAACTATGGGTTCACATGTAAGGCTCTAAATTCTATGTTCCGCATTGAATAGAACTAACAAACATAACTATTCAAAATGAAACAGCAACATAGCAATTAACAATGAAAACTCCTAGCATCCAGGCCCATAAAAATACTTTTGACATCATTGTTTTCATATAGCAAACCTGACAAAGATTCTGCCCCACTTCATCATGAAATAAGTATCTGAAATACCTGCACTCAAGTTATGAACATGTTCTTGCCAAATTGTGGGAGTAGGTGTGTTCCATTCACATAATTGAGCCCCAATCTGAGATGCAATCAAATGGATAGTTGCCTACAACATGAGAAGCAGGGATTTCAACTAAACTTGTAGGTAAATGCTGTTATAGTCCTACAATAATGCATCACATACATCAAATGTAATAACATAGTGCCTTACTATAAGATGTAGAAAAAATTATTATTTGCCAAGACAACCTACAGATTTTCCAACCCCAGCTTGCCCAGTTATTATGAGAACAGAGCTACCAACCTCACCCTGAAACTACAAAGAAAAGGACATGAATTTCCTCAGGTCAGATGAAAAAAAAAAAACAAGGCCTTGCTTATTGAACGTCAGCAATTAACAACACAATCGCAGCTTCCCATTTTAATAAAACAAAATTACCTTTGGAGTCCTTAATCTTTCCTCAAACCACGACTTAACTTCTTCGACCTACCAAGAACAAGAGAAAGTGTGGATACAGATATTCAAGATGAAAAATATAAACCAAATTGAGTCTCACCTTCTTCTTGTGAACAGCTAGCTCTTCCATAGAACGAGGCTTGTATTTATCAACCCACAATTCCTTTGGAGTGCTCCTTCTAGAACCCAGACCATATTCTATTTCCAATTAGGCATATAAGTTTTTTAATGAACATTTTGTTTAGGAGGAAATATAAGCTAAATTTACAAAAAAAAAAAAAAAAGCAGATGCCTTCAACCCATTCAAAACTTCATCAAAATCTTTAAAAGCCAATTTCATCTGCGCTAAACAACAAATTCCGAGAAAATATATATATACATTAAAAAGACTGAAAAAGTCTGCAAAAATAATTATGATAAAGATATATTTTTTTTTACCTCATCTACATTGCTATATTCTTTACTTAAGCAAGAGCTCGAAAGTCGAGGTTTCTTGGCTCTACTAGGGTTCACACCAGTGATCAAGGACCTTGATTTCGGCTTCTCGTAGCTCCGTTTCAACCTAGAAAAAGCCTTGTAATCTTCATCGTCTGATGAGGAAATGACGATGGAGTTTCGTCTCCCCATCCCTAGTATAACCGCCGCAAAAGGTTAGAAACGAGGAAGTGGAAGATAATGAAGTATTTGGAAATTGCAGGAGAAATGGATCAACAGATTTTAAGCATACCAGAAACCCTAAAAATTGGGTAAATAGTGGGAGGAAATGGAAGCAGTGAGTGAGGATTGTGGGAGTGAAAGGACGAGTTTCACAGGTTCCAAAAACCGCGAGGTTAGCGAAAGGAAACTGGAAGGGCGCATGTGGGAAGCTAAAGCCAATTAGGAAGAAGGTTATTTTATTGTGTGTATCAGAGTACGTGTCTTCGGTGAGCGTATCTGTCCGATGTCTGAACAATTGACGTCTGATTGAGGAAAAAAAAACTCCTATTTCATCAAAAAAGAAAGAAAGAAATATAGAAGCAATTTCACTATTTCATCAAAAATTGCACAAACACTTTTTTTTTTTTTTAACATTAAAAAATGCCCATGGATGTATACTTTGATGTTGAATTCTTTTTAAGGCATATATTTTTAATTGAAGGAAAGACGACTTCAAATTCAATTATTTAAGTAAAAAATTAATCATTAAATTAAATATTTGAATATAAAAATTGATAATTAACAAAATTAAAATAAATTCCATTTATTAGCAAATATAAAAAATTAAGTGAGAATCTAAATTTGAGAATTCATATTTAGAGCTAAAATATAATTCTTTCACATGATAAAAATAAAAAAATTATAGATATAAATATTTGAATTATTGTCATTATAATTATATGAACTTAATTAAGGGTCAAATTCGGTAAAAATGTAACTTCAATACAAAATGTGTTAACATCGTTGATCAAAAGAATGACATGATTAGTTGGGTAAGCTCATAATGTATGATTTTATTTATTTTAAAAATTAAGAAATTATTAAAGATGGCAAACAAACTGGACTAAATAATAATTTATACTATTATATATAAAAAGTATCCGCAAGAATCCTTAGTCTTACACAAGTCCTAGTTTTTTCTTCTTTCCCATGGTTTTTTTCTCTTTTTGATTTTCTTCTTTTAGAATTTTTTCCATCTATCTCAAATTACCCATTAGTATTTTCTCTTTCTTTTTTGTTTCGTTTCTTTACAAAAACAATTTTTTCAACTAATTTTTATTTTCTTTGTGGATTAAAAAAATAAAAACTAAACGTATGGTATTGCAAATAAAAGAGAAACTAGAACCAATGGCAGCATCGATGATCTCTTCAGAAGATCCAATGGCAGATAGCTAGTCATTCGTGGAATAGCCACCGCTGCATTAGCAACTCAAGTGCCAACATCTAATTCAATGGCAAATAGTTTGCCACAGAGCTTTTGCTAGTCTCAATCCTTTCTTTCGCTTGCTCTTTAGGCTCACATATTTGAAATTTCAATGATATTTTAATTGTATTTCTTAATAATCTAAATGACTAAAAAAAAGACAAATAAAAAAAAAAGATTGCTGTAACAAGAAGCCAAGTTTTTGCCTTTCAAGAATAAGAACAGTGTATGAGAGATTGTATCATCTATTCATTTTTAACTACCTCTTGAATTTGTCTAAATTGTTGCTAATTTGTGTTATGTCATTATCACATGAAGAATGCATATCTTGATTCAAATATTTTGGTTGTAACATTGATGAATGGTGAATCAAAACGTGTGAAAACTCAATTAGATGAAGAAACGTTGAAAGAAGCTATGGGTGTGCTTAAGGACATGTTTGGGCCCAAAATACCTAATGCCACTAAGTATTCCCTCAAGTGTTTTTGAAGTTAATTTTGGTTTTAGTTTTTTTGCATGTTGTTTAAATTAGTTTTAAGATGAATGACTAGCATTTACTAGATTAAGATTGAATTAAATTACATGTTTGATTTTTTTTTTCATTTTTCTTGCAGGAGTGTTAAAGGCATTTAATGGTTTACAAAATTGTTTCCTTTAAGGTATTCCAACAAGTGTGTTTAAAGTTAGTTTTTCTTTTAACTTTGTTGCATGTTGTATAAAATAATTTTGTTTTTCTTTTAACTTTGTTGCATGCTGTATAAAATAATTTTGAAATTGATATTTAACTTCTGAATTGCTTTTGGCACCTTATTTGCTTGACATTGAGTTAATTTATATGTTTTATTATTTTTAGTCCTTTTTTACAAAGATTGTCCAAGTTTCCAACAACTATGTTCAAAGTTAGTTTTGCTGTTGGTTTTTCAGTGCTTTGCAACTACAAGGATTGTTTCAAGTATTACAGCATTTAAGTTTAAGGTGAATTTTGATTTTGATTGTTTGTTAGTATTTAAACTGGTTACTAACTTCTCTTTTAGTGCTGTTTTTATCTAAGGTGAACTATTTTAAGGTTTATCAGTTTAGTTTTTTTTTTTTTTGTTGGTTTCTATCTTAATTACTTCAATGGAATTTCACAATAAGCTGTCTTTATCTTAATGAGTTACCTTTAGGAACATTTAAATCTTAAAAGTTTTTTCCTTTTTTATAGTGCTTATATTTTTTTTTCAAGTAACAGGAAGCCAAGTTTTTACCTTTCAAGAATAAGAACAATATATGCCTTATATGGCAACTCTCCTCCATCTTTCCTATCATTGTATTCCTTGATATCATCGGATTCTGGGGTCACCTTTTTTCATTATTTCTTTCGAATTTCTTGACTGATTTTTTCTCAAAAAAAAAAAAAGATTGATGGGGTTTTGGTCAGAAAAATTCAAAATCTAAAAGCTCTGCTATGAGGATTATAGTTTTATGTGGTCTATCTAATTCTATCATGGTATGATTTCTTATATTATCAGCCTTGCATCTAATTGCCTTGATGTTTTAGTTGATCTATGAGTCCATTTTGATAATTTATCTTATCTACCTAGCTAGTTTCTATTTGTTGCTGCTTACAAGACTTAACATTGTTGATATTGTCATTAGAACAAATTCATAATAGTTTAAACAAGATGTAATTCCCTTATAATTAAGCATCCATGTTTAACAATTGAAAATTCAACAAATTCTTTTATAATTAGATTACCTATCATCGAAGTCACATAGAATAAAGCTCTTAACAACATTTGATTAGGAGCACCAATTAGTGAAGAACTACTTTTTTTTTTAATACTTTGTATAGTTTTTGTGGGTTCTTTCACAAGTCTATGAGAATTTGAATTTCACTTTTGTTGTTAGACCTTACCATAAGTTTCATTTTTGCTTTTGTCATATCATAATTGGACAAAAATAAGTTAACAAAAGAATAAAACAACCATATTCAATGCAGATTTTGTTTTCCGTTTTCATTAACAATGATTGGTTTCTATTAGAAAAAGACATTCCTTTTGAGATGCAAGTTCACATTGCTATATTGTTCTCATTGATAGTGATTGTTCATTGTAGATATCGAATTATATCCGGAACATTTTAGCATAGTTGAAAAAAACTCATTTGAAACCTGTAAAATGGCCTCTTAAAGAGCCCATAGAATGCATCGATATTTAGGCCTAATAAATAAAGAAAAATGAGACATGTATGGTTACTATCAAACTCTTTCACATATGATTTATATAAATGATATATTTTTACGCGGATGCATGAGAAATAAAAAATAAATGAAACGAGTAAACTCTAAAGTCAACTCAAGTCAAAATTATACAAAATTTGGTCAAAATGAATAGAACTAGGGTCAATCTTCAAAGTTCACAACCTAATTGATATCATGTGGTTTAAAACCTAAATTTTGTGATTTTTTTAAAACACTAAAAATTTTTATTGCACTAGGAAAGTACAAAATTACTAAAATATCCTTTAAAAGATATTTTCATAATTTGGCTCTTCTGAGCTCAGATTTTCATGAAACTTTTTATATCTTAATTTCATAATTTTTTTTTGGTGCATTTGAAATCACGGCTATACCTGAAAAGTGTGAAATAACTAAAATACCCTTATAAGGGTATTTTCGTAATTTATCCTTCTTGAGCTCTGATTTCCATGAAACTTTTTAAATCTTAATTTCATAATTTTTTAGTGCATTTTAAATCACAGCATTACCCTAATGGGTGTAAAATTACTAAAATACCCCTATAAGGGTATTTTTGTAATTTGGCCTTTCTAAGCTTAAATTTTTATAAAACTTTTTAGATATCAATTTTAAAATATTTTCTTGATTTTTAGGGTATTTGAAATCATAGTAATACCTTGAAAAGTGTTAAATTACCAAAATATTTATACCCATATAAGGGTATTTTCATAATTTAGCCTTTTCGAACTTGAATTTTCATAAAACCTTTTAGATCTCAATTTATAATATTTCAAGATTTTTAATGTTTTAAAATCTCAAAAATGAACATGAAAACATTGATTTTTAAGAAAATGACCTAAATACCAAAAATTTTGCATTATGGGTAAAATGGTCTTTTCATGGGTTTGAAGGACATAAAAATTCAAACTTTATAGTGAATAATGTAAACCACTAAATCTATCATTGATCTTAATCCAATGGCCAAAGGTGGTTTCTTAAAAAGAAAAAAAAAAGAGAAACATTTATTTCATCCAAGGGTCTATATTCACCAAAATGAGATTTTTTTGGAGGGGGTTGACTCTTGAAAAGTTGAAGGTAAGGGTTTACCGAAGAGTGGGAAGAAGGGAGGAGCTGAAAAGAAAAAAAAAAGAAGGCATGTAAAAAAACTGCCAAGAAAAAAAGAAGAAAAATAAAAAAAAACTACTGATAAGAGGTTTTTGAGGCTATTTTTTTTTTTTAAAAAAAGAAGAACAATGGAAGATCAAAGAAGAATTATGTAGGGTAGAGTTTCAAGCTAGCATAAATAGTAAAAAAAGAAAAAAAATAAGAGTAAAGGTAGCTTCATGACTATCCTTTTTTATGGGGCTGTTTGATTTTTTTTTTTTTTTTGCTTTTCTTCCTATAGGTGATTCTTGATAGTTGCTACATCTTTATATCACTAGATTGATAATTTCGGTTAAAACAACCAACAAACAACGGTTAAGACCTTTTAAAGAGTAATAGTAAATGAAATCAACATTACCCCATATAGTTCATGTGTTGTATGTATAAAAATAGTTTCTTTTTGTTTCTAAAAAGTAAGAATGAAACAGGTTCTTGAACATGCCAAGATTTTAAGTCCTTATTTAGTTATGAATCTAAAACTTTTTTGTTGTCTTCTAGGGAAAATGGAAAGTAATGAGTCATTCTTTACGCATATTTTCGAAAATAGGGGTTCTTTAAACTAGTTGCTTACTTATTATAACAAAGGGAGAGGTAGGTTTTGCTTTTAACACCCAAGAAACAAAAAACAAAAGATGTTGATTAGTTTTTCTTCTTTCTATCAATAGGTATTTATAAAATGAAGATTTCCCTTTGGTTAAGTCTATTGTTTAGGGTATTTGAGGAAATGATAGGAAGTTTTCTATTCTAAGGAATAAGCAAAGG